AGAGTAAGGGCATGACTAAAACCAACTTATATGGTATCCACTACTTCTACAGCTTCTGATTGCTCAGTTCCATCTGTAATGCCTCTAAAGAAAAGAGCAATTGTTGCCTTTGTGGCCATAACTTGATCTTTCAGGCTTACTGTTTTGTCAGGTTTGTCCTAGTCTCTTGCTGAGATTGTGGATGTGGTCCTACCCTAAAAAAAGGGGTCTGTGGCTGCTTAATATATATACTATGCAGTTTAAGATTTGCACATCAGTGTCATTAATTTATCCTTCTAGTTGAAAACCAAAAATTCCAAATTCAAAAAGAAAACAGCAGCACTTAGCAGAATGCATCACATTGCCCACGTTGCAGCTCTGTTTGAAAATGGCACAGCTGTTGAGTTGTCTTTCCACCTGTGTGTGTGGAAAGGCCACCTCCACACACTTCCAGGATGAAAGAACTGTCATTTTCCTGCTCTGATGTAGCATGCAGGTGTCTGTGTTACTGTTCCTTTTGGCCCGTCTGGGCAATGATTCCATGACTTCACAAAATGCTAACTTGAAATATTCCCATGCTGTGCAAATTACTTAGTCTTCAAAATACAATTAACTTTTTTATAGTATGCAAGCTTCTGCAGATATATATCAGATGTACAGTATAACATCGTGACTTGCTTGTTCAGGGAAGGAGAAACAGTTTATAACAATGCTCTTCTTACTGTAATAGTAAATGTTCCAGTAACATACACTTCTTTTATTGGCCTAAATATGTCAAAACATGGGAGATAGATACAGGCAAATATATATACAGATTGTACATAAATGCATACACATACAGTGGTTACTTTTATTATTATTATTACTATTATTATTATTATTATTATTATTACTATGCCTCCTTACAGTTTGGGGGGGCTTTTTGCATAAAATCACTATAAAAAGTAGATGTTCATGTAAGAATCAAATTTCAGTTTTTATGTGCAAACAGCATACTGCAGTGTTGTTTGTGGTTATAGTCAAATTTTGGTGATGAAGTTGTCTATTACTAGCATTTCATAATAGGGGAAAAGCACTTAAACAGTTTAAACAAGTTTGCAGGGATGCCTTGCAGAGAAGGGTGTGGAGACCCAGAGTTACAATCTTATATTTCTCTTGTACAATTTTAAATAATGTTTCTCTGTATTGGATGAGAAAATTTTAAAAAAACAAAGGGTCACAAAGCACAGTAACTATAAAGGCTGCAAATTTTAACATTATTTTTAGGGATAAAGCTGCAGCAAAATCACTGCTGACAGATATGAAAAGACCTGAATTTTTACTATTTACAATACCCTATTGAACTAAAAAGTGTGATTCCAATATTCACTTGCATCTATTAGCACAATAATTTTATTTTATTCTAATAAAATTAATTTCAAGAGCCAAGACCCATCAGAGTGGGTAAATAGAATCTGTTGTATCCAGAGCACCTAGCATCAGACTTTTAAGTTCTTTAATTGTTTCACCATATTAATGAGATTTCTTGGTTAATTCCTGCTCTCTGTGACCAGACAAGGCAACTATAGGAGTACCTACAGTATTGCATAACAGGAGGAAAGAAATTTGAAGATCTGTTCCAATCAGATATATGATAAAGGGCTCAGTTTCCCATGTTTTGGAAAGGCTGTTTTGTTTATTCATATTCTGGGTTATGTGTTAAATTCCTCAGGAGTCATTATCAGAAAAAAATGAGTGCACTCTCCTCGGTGCTTACAGAATCACAGCATTTGATTTGATGGATTGTCTCTCTGTTTCATTCTGTGGATTATCAAGCACAGTTTGACAGCATTAACCCTGTGTCAGAGTTTTTGTTTCTGTGCCACATAGTGATCGTACTTCAGTTCTTCATAGGGTCACAGATGAGCTCTTTTTAATGTTTTCTCTAAAAACAAAATGCCTTGGCTGGCCCAAGGGATAAAGATATAGGGTAAAATCAGGCAAAAATCAGAAATATTGATTATTTTGTACTTTCCTGTTTCTGGCACCTGTCAATACATACTTAGGCAAATTCCAATTGGACTTAAAAAAAACGTAAAAAAGAAAATCTTTTTGTATTTGAGATTTAAATATATATGCTATTAATTATTTTCAACACTGGTATATAGGAGTCTACTAAAGGCAAGTATGTAGATCTGACATGGTGCATTTTATGCACTGGAAAAGCACAAGAAGCTTGGAGAAACACTGTGTGTCCTTTACTTTTGGGGGATGTCAGCCATGTGTAAAAGTCTTGCCACTATCTAGCCATTTGCTTAAGCTGAGAAACCTTTTTGCTAGACTTCATTTAGTATACTGTTTTCATTGACTGCACGTTATTTTCCTAAAGTATAAGGCACACACTGTCCTCAGGAATAATGTATTTTTTGAATGGTGAATGATCTTTTCATATTCTAAATATTGTCTTTTCAAACAAATGACTGGTATGACTAGACTGCATGTAGGCTGCATTTGTGAAATCTGACAAAGCTTTAGAACCTCGATTTGTGCAAAAATGCTTTAGATCGTTGCAGATCTAATCTGTGACAACTTTGCTCTATGCATGCGCCCTTGGAGAGACTGCATGAGCAACTAGATATTTTTATGTATAAAGGATTAGTCAAAATGTCTTAATTATTCCTAACCAAATTCTGCGTCTTCGTTCAGACAAAAGAGATTTCCATTTCAGAAATGGCAAAAAGTCCAGATACGTGATACACATCTCATTTCTTATGACTTTTTATTCTAAATTTGCGCTTAATATGTGAGATCTGAATTTTGGTGAATAAAAAAAAAGGAAAATAAGAATTCTGTTTCATTAGCCATCCTAATAATAGCTCAGTCTGTCTCCCTGTAGAGGGAGGCAGTAAGAGCTCAGCATTCACAACTGAGTGCTAACAGGGTTGCCTGAATGTTGAGCCCAGGCTCACACAGCACAGTGATTGAGCATCCTGATGGAGTACTAGTGTTTGGAAACAAGGTAAAACTCATCAAAGCCTTCAGCAAAGCCTTTGAAACTGTCTACTGCAGCACTCTCCTGGAGAAGCTGGCAGCCCATGGCTTGGTCAGGTGCACTCTTTGCTGGGTTAAAAAGTGGCTGGATGGCCGTGCCCAGGGAGTGATGTTGCATCCAGTTGATGGCTGGTCACTGGTGGGGCTCCCCAAGGCTCAGTGTTGGGGCCAGTCCTGTTTAATACCTTTATCAGTGGACAAAGGAATCAAGTGCACTTGCAGTAAGTCTGCAGACAACACTAAGTTGGGTGGGACTGTTGATGTGGTGGAGGGTAGGAAGGCTCTGCAGAGGGATCTGGACAGACTGGATCGATGGGCCAAGGCCAATTGTGTGAGGTTCAACACAGCAAAGTGCCGAGTCCAGCACTTGGGTCACAACAATCCCATGCAGTGCTACAGGCTGGGGACAGAGTGGCTGGAAAAGGACCTGGGGGTGCTGGTCAACAGCAGCTGAACATGAGCCAGCAGTGTGGCCAGGAAGGCCAGGTGAATCCTGGCCTTTATCAGGGATAGTGTGGCCAGCAGGACCAGGGAAGTGATTGTTCCCCTGTACTCAGTGCTGGTGAGGCCACCCCTGGAGTGCTGTGTCCAGTTCTGGGCCCCTCAGTTCAGGAGGGACATTGAGGTGCTGGAGCAGGTCCAGAGAAGGGCAATGAGGCTGGTGAAGGGTTTAGAGATTAAGTCATATGAGGAGCAGCTGAGGGAGCTGGGGTTGTTTAGTGTGGAGAAGAGAAGGCTCGGGTTGGCCTTTATCACTCTCTACAACTCCCCAAAAGGAGGTTGTAGGAAAACGAGATTTGGGCTCTTCTCCCAGTTAACTGGTGACAGAAGAGATGACATAGCCTCAGGCTGCACCAGAGGAGGTTCAGGTTGGACATCAGGAAGAATTTTTTCACTGAAAGCATTGGAATGGGCTGCCCAGGGAGGTGGTGAAGTCCCCATCCCTGGAAGTGTTCAAGAAACAACGGGACATAGCACTTTGTGCTGTGGTTTAGTTGTGGTGGTGGTGGTCGGTCAAAGATAAGAACTTGATGATCTTGGAGGTCTTTTCCAACCCTGATGATTCTATGATTCAACGGCTATTTCTGTTATCTTTCTTTCCTACCCCTTTTTGCTAAAGGATTTATAGAGAAAATTTAGATGAACATTGAAGTTAATATTGATGATGACAAGGCTAAAGTTTCAGTAGTGGTGAGGTTAAGGGGGGGTTTTGTTAGATGTTTCTTAGAAAGTCCATGTGTTTCTTGCTACAAAATACACATCAGCTGTAGCTATGTCCTTTTCCAACAACAACTTGTCATAAAATGGGTTCTGAGAAACAGTTTGGCTCAATTGTGTCCTATGGAAAGCTCAAAAGGAAAATATCTAGAGAGACTAGTGAAAATAGGTTAATAGGTAAATACCTTAATGCAAAAATTTATAAATTTCCAGAAGTTTCCTTCATAGAAAGCTCTGCAGAAGGAAAAATATCTTGGGAAACACAGTTTTAGGGTGATGTTAATGTAGGGAAAGGCAAGAATTTTTGTGATACTTTATTCTTAATGTGCCATTAAGATGATCAGTCTAATAATGTACTCAGTGCACATCTGCTGTTTCCTTGCTGCATCTTCTTCCACTGCAGACTCCAATTGGGAGTGTTGCCAGAGAGAATTTCTGGAGCCATGGGATCCAGTGGAGTTACCTGCAAAGCCCTACATGGCACTGTGGGACTTTGTAATCTTTTGCATTATGCCACAGTTCATTAAGAGACAAATTAGCACATGCATATTTCGAAGCATCATCTCATTTTGGTTAATTGAAAACCATCCATGTCCATAAATTGAATGGGCAATTGCCTTATCAATAAAACTCACTTTATAGAAACAGCTACCTATGAATGCAATAAAGATAATGGAAAATAAAATAAAAATCACATTTTCTATTAAGTTTCTATTAAGAAAAGGGACAGAGATAAAAATAGTGGTGTCAGCAATCACTTACAACACAGTAGCACTTCCAGAATAATTTTATTTTTTTGTAGTCCTCATAAAGTGCTGATGTTGCTTATTTTGGGGCAAAGGTTGAAACAAATATAAGACCAGCCTTTCATAATAGTGTTTATTTGGTGTTAAGGCTAACACTAGAATTCAAACAGAATTCCACATCTAGGCAGACCTTTTATTTTGTTGTGAAGCATATTTTGTCTACCTAAAATGCATACAGTGACACTTTTTGGAAGTGTTTAAGTGAATTGCAAACTTAAATTCCTGTAGTGGAAAATTTAGCAGCTTAAAAAGTTCCTTAAGTGTGTTCATACTCAACCTTATGCTTGCAATGCCCATGTTCTTCTGGGGTAAAATGCAACAACCAGCATGTGGAAGCAGGCTGAGGATAGGCAGAGGAAGCAAAGGGATCATCTTCACTTCAGCAGGTTTTGCTCCAGAATTGCAACAGGCTCTGAAAAACAAGGATTTGAGCATGGAGTGTTGGGTCAGCCCTCCTGATCTTTCTCCTTTTCTCCTCTGGCTCATTCTTTACTTACCCTTGGTGTTTTATTACACGCTACCTTCTGTCTGACAGTCCAATTTCCAGGGCAATTCTGTGACTGCGGATTTATTTACGGGCTGGTTTTGGATGTTCTTTACTGAGAGGCCAAAGCGGGAAGTGCACAAGTACTAGTTTGTCTGGGGCTTCTCACAAATCAGTACGTGCTGGACGAAGCAGTGCTGGGCAGCACGAGGTGCCTGTTTCTGGATCTGTCCTTTCAGTCACTTCCCCAAGCACCACACTTTGTTCTCCCTGTGTCCCTTCCCACACACACGCACGCGCAATCCTAAATACCCTCCACAATCTTATCATTTTTAAATTTATATAACAGCCTAGTATTGGCAATTTTTGTCTGATATTGCCACCGCAATCACATTTGCCAGAAATTTGGATTGACATGATTTTGGCATAACCATGATAGCACAATGTTACCACAACAGCACAAAGTTCTAATGGCACAACAAGGAACTGTGGAGAAATCACTTTGCTATTCCATGTTATACAGGAACTTTTTTAATCCAGGACTTCGGTTTAGTCTTGAAATGCTAATGGTGTATTCCCTCCTCACTGCACTGGAAGTTACCTTGTGTTAATTCTGTTGGCTCATTCTAACTTCTTGATATAATCTCTATAATGTTAGATGTTCTTTGTAGTTTGCATTCTAATTGACTTGAGCTACTTAGTAGAATGCTACTGGGTGAGAAATCAGGATTAAACCCAATAGAGTCTAAAGCTAATGAGATTCTAACTGCTGAGAACATGACAGTTTTTCTGTTAATAATGGAAAAAAATTCAGATCACATTTTTATTTTGTGTTCTATTTAAATGACTCAGAGTTTTGTATTGAAAAATCTTCCAAACTGTTGGCTCTAATTTTTACCTAGAGTAGTATCAGTGAAATTTCAGTTCTTGGAAATAATCTCATGTAAAATCTAACTGAATAAGATAGTTCAGTCATTTTTTACTCTGATAGTCCTGGCTAACTTGCAATATCATGATCGTACAAGATTTCTTAAAATGTGTATATATTTGAAATTTATGTAATGTTTAAATACAACTTCATTTCTAAGTAAGGAGTAAAAATTTCAGCTATTTTTTCTATTCGTAAATCCACACTTTGTAAGGAATATTTAAAATAAGTTTACAGCACCATAGAGCGTTTCAGACAAATTCACTTTTCTGTGCAAAACCTCAAAGTTCCTCTGGCATGTCAGCTTTTGGTTTCTTTTTTAATATTACTTTTACAAGCCAGTATGTACCCCAGAACTAAAAGAATTCACTGAGGAAAAAGTTGTAGATCTGATTAACTATTGTAAGACACTTTTGGCATAAGTTTGTCTTTGAGATGCTGTTTACTTTATCAAGGTTTACATGTACAAATGCAACTACTTACTGTATCATACACATTTGAATATTGCATTTTTTTCAGTAATAAACTTGGATATCTTTGAAAGCGGCTTTGATCTTTATTATTTCAAATATTCAAAGTTAATTTAAAAAAAATCGTATACTTAAAAAGTGAGTGCTAATGAGCCTTCAAACCATACTATTGCAAGGAAGTAATTTCAGGGTTGGCTCGGGCACTTATAGCAATTAAATACTCAATTAATTTGATCTCAAGGTACAGATAGAATCAGTTTTCAAATTTTTAGCCATCTATGATCTCCTGCTTTCACCAGTGACTAACAAGTTCTTAAATTTAAGCTCCTTTAGAATTTACCTGTTCTAATTCTCAGTTTTTCAACCAAAGTGGACAGGCTAGCTCTTCCCTGGAAGGGTCAGTGGGTCAGGGTATAAAGGAAATGAGAAGATAACTGTAAAAAATACTGACATGAATACTTGATCAGAATGGTAATTTCTCTGAATTCCAGTCTTGCTAGGACTTATTCTTAAATCTTGCTAAAAGACTGAACAATGAACTACTGATTAACAATTCTAGCCATCATTTGTAAGTGCACATGTTGGACTTATTAAACCCTGTGCCTGGCTCCATTACAAATACAGAAAACACTTGGGCTTAATGAGCAGCTTTAGCCGAAACGAAACTAATTTGTAAATATGAAGAAAAAATTTTTATGGTATTTCTTCAACAGCATTTGGAGAGAATGAAATTCTAGCCAACATAAATCACGGGTTTTGACATTAAATGGAAAAATTAAGATTCTCTTCTGTGGCAAACAACTTGAAAATATACTAAGTCTGTAGTGAATCCAGTGTTGCTAAACTTGTGAAATGCATGCAGAACATAATAATACTGCACTGAGCAAGTGCCTTAAATATTCAAAGCAGACTGTTACCTTCGCAGTTACAGGTCTTCGAATCAGATAACCTCCAGCTACCAGTAGAGAGGGTTTTGTCCTCCTCCATCTGACTATATAGCTTCATATTGGCGTTTGGAAACACTTCTACTCAGGAATTATTTTATGCCCTTATGCATGATAGTTAGGCTTTCTTAATACAACCTAGTCAATCATGTGAGTGGCCGTGAGATGTAAATGATGTGTGAGGAGGCTTTCTGTGATACCTGGGGATAGGACTAACCTGACCTCCCTCCTCTCCCTCCATCAGAGGGCAATTCACAGTCTCACCTTAGTGAGAGACTTCAGAAACTTCTCCAAAGTCTTATTTTATCTCAAATTCACCTTTGCACATTTGCTCTCAATGGAAGGTTACTGAACAGAGCATGTGATATAGATGTAGTGCAGCTGCTTCAAGGAGGGAGCTCCCACAACCAGATTTATTAAACATTTCTTCCAAAACAGCAGCGCTTCCAAAATCCCATTGTCCGATCATTTCCCAGGTCTGCCAAGAAATTAATAAATAAAAATCTGGCCTTTATTGTTATAGAGAGCAATTGTTCCCTCTTGGTCACCTACAAGCCAGTAAATGCAATAAAAAAAGTTCATAATTTCTGAAGCTGGAGAACTAAAGTTGGGTTAAATGTCCCCTGTCCCTCGGCTTCTAGAGGCGAGATTCTCTGCTCATATTTGTATAGGATTTTTCCTCGGGATTGTAACCAGAGATCTGGCAATGGGTTTCTTTGTTGATACTATTCTTGAAGGCTTTATTTGCAGTAACTTTAGGCAGTTTTTTCTCAAAGTCAATCTGAAAAAAAAGAAAGAAAATACCCCTGTAGTTTGAAGCCTGTATTCACTGCTTTTTTCCCCTTTGATTGAAGGAAAATTGTTAGAACAGTGCAAGAAGACAAGATATTCGTTCTGTATGCCTTTTTAATGAGCTACAAAGACTCGAGACACCTGAAGAACAGCCAGTGCTGTTGCTGTGGAGGAGGAGGAGGTGAAGGTGGGAAGGAGCAGCCCAGGTGCTGGTGGTTGCAGCCTGCCTGGTTGCTACTCTTTGGTTCTGCTCTGGAGAGGAGAAGCCCCAGAGGCTCTGAAGGTGGAGCTGGCAGCAACAAGAAGTCATATAAGTGCTTAAGTCTTCCCCTCTGTGCTCAGAGGAGGTGATAGCTTGGTGAACTCCTCTCTATGGTTTAAAGTGCGGTTTTGTCCCCGCTTGGCTGCTGGAGCAGGGAGGGCAAGGAGAGGGAGGTCAGACCCCATTTCATGGGCTGTTTGTCTCTGGAGAACCTGGGTCCCCATGTGTGATGCAAACAGGAAAAATAAGTAACTTATTACTGACCAGGCTTCGGCTGATCTCATTTCCAGTCTGCAGTGCCTAAGCAGCACCCTTTTTGTAAGTTCAGAAGCGATTGCTGAGAGCTGTTTGGTTCTCTGCTTAGCACTTGCCCTCGTGTAGGTACATGCACGTGTTCCTGCTGCTCCCGGGCCACAGCAGGGCTGAGCTGGTTGGTTCAGGTACTCACCTCCAGGCTGTCGTGCCGCACGCCACACCAGAGGAGAGTTTTGAGTCTTTCGGACCAAAAGAAAAGCAGGTTGCAGACTGGCTTAATTAACACTGGTGGGATATCTTCTCCTTTAGTAGGTCCTGAAAAAAACCAAAAAAAGATACATGAGTCTATAGATAGGTATGAGCCTTGGGAGCCTCAGACTGTGAGGTGGGGGAGCAGGATCAGAGCCTGCTGCCCTCTCCTCCTGGGTCCGTGTCTCACAGGCTGGATTTTTAAAAGCTTTTTTAACAGCTAGGTCAGATTTTTGTGCAAAAGCATATTTGTTTTATATAAATATATATATTTATATGTTTATATAGAACACCCACCTGTTATGTAGCTTATCAACAACCCTATGATGGCACATCCCAGGCAGCCAATGGCACTGAAGTACAGGTAGGACAGGGAGTACCAGGTGTCTGCCAGCAAAGGCCTGTGAAGAGGTGACAAAAGCAGCTCGTAAAGGGCAACGAGTGTATTTAAGTTGTCTCCTGGCTGTGCCAGCAAAATGCAGCTCATACTGCAGTTACTCTGCGCTCCCAGCCTGCTCCCTGCTGGGGCTGTACTCTGTGCCAAAATGCAGGCTCAGGTGGTAGCAGTACCTCTCTGGAGCTGCCGTGGGAGCCGCTGTCGTCAGCGACGCGGTGCCGTTCGCCAGCGTGCAGTTGAGGGTCGACAGTTGCAGAGGGATGGACTTCGTTGGTGGTGCAGGGTAAATGAAAGAACCAGTACCAGCCCAAAAAGCCAAGGTGATCCCAGCTAAGAGGCCTCCAAGAGCACCCTTGGCAAGTGTAGAAAGAGGCTGTTAAAGGTGATTCGCCAAAAGTGCTTTTCTGTGAACATGGGTTAGGCAGGAGTAGGTGATGGTGGTTTAGTCTATGTCAGTGTAAATAAATTCTGTTCTCTTGACCAAGGAACAAAATGTGGTCGTTTGAGGCCCTCTAGGTATAAAAGTTGAAGCAAAACTGTGATCAGAGCTGTGATAGAGATTTTAGTTTTACTTCTGGTAACTGTGATGGGAGTGCTGATGGGGCAATATGGAATGAGTTCATGTGTTTTGAGTGAGATAGCAAAGGCAGAGCAACTGACACAATTCTTTGTGTCCCGAGGCTGGGGTGAGTACTGAATATTTTTTTCTTCTTAGTGAAACTTAAAACCAAAAATAATTAAAAAAAACCCCCTCATGTGGATCTAATCACCAATTATTCCACAGCTGGGTAGACTTAAATTGAAAAAGATAAATTCAGACAGGGAAAAGGCACAACTAAACAGATCTTAGATCCTGAGGCTCTAAATCTGAAAAGCAACCCAAATTAAAAACCCAAACAATTTTCAAGATGGAGTTTTAACCAAACAACACCAAGAGATTTTCTTTTAGATCAGGATTTTTTTTAACCTTACCTTCCAGTTAGCACAAGGAAACACAATTCCCAGTGTAAATAATCCCAGCATGGGCCCCCCACACATCCCGTGGATGGAGAGGGAAGCCTGTGGGTGCAGAGAAGAGAGGGGAGTTCAGGGCAGCAGTTGAGCAGAGCATGCACAATTCTGATTTTTGTCTGTAATTTTGAGTGGGAAAATGACGAGGGAGAAGGGATAAGCAGTGATTTCAAGGCACAGTTAAAGAGAATCACACTCAGTACCGTTTCCTAGCAGTGAGTAAAAAATGGAGTTAGGGGATTTATGATCTTTTTTTCCTAGTTATTCCTCTTGTCAGAGGGTCCACTGAAACGGTTTAGGCAATGTAGCAGCCCTCAGAGCTGGCAGCCTTATTTGTTCAGTTCACTGCATTTCTGTTCATTCCTGTTCTGTTCATTGCATTTCTGAAGCAAGAAATACCTGCACGACTCCTCCCATCAGCGACGCTGCTGCAGCCATGGAAGTGCACAGGACGCCGTATAAAACACCTGGGAAAGATCAGGTAATGAGGTTCTCAGTGCTGGACAACAGTGGGGACAGTTTCTAATTCAGTAGTGTCTGAGGTGACCAGGCAGCACTGGGGGAATTTGCACTTTGGGTTTGATGTTTAGAGTGGACCATTAAGCACCCAGCAGTGTCTTGTGTGAAGTCTTGTTGGGTTTTTGGCTGATTGATTTTTCTTACAAAGCAGAGCAATGGCAATGAAATTAATTTAGGAGTTATGCCTCATGTAGAAATATTTCTATTGCCTTTAAATATCACTTTTAAAATAATCTAGTAATGAGTTGAGAAATGATGGTTTTCTTCCTTTGACACCAGTTTTAACTTTGTGGTAGGCAGAACTCTCAAGTAAAGCCAACTTAAATGGTCTAGCACACCTTGGTAAAAATTCTAGGCACAGAGTGAAAAAAACTAAGTAGTAAGTGGAAAAACAGAAATGGAGAAGGCTAGAAGCAGTTACAGAGATACAAAAGATATTGGCTTGGCCCTTCAGCGATGTTTATGAACATTAATAAAATGCTTATGATATTATGGTTATGATATGAATGCAATAATTGTAAAAAGTATCCTAAAAATTCAAATCACTTTGGATGCTTGCTATGTTGATGATCTGGGTTTTTTAAATTTTTTAAATTTAAGCTGAATAACCTGCTTATACAATAACTCTAAGCTTGAATAGAAATTACTTATTGTATTGCTCTAAAAGAATATGCAATACTACTATAGATTAATGTGGTAATAACTACATTGATATTCTTTCTGTGTCATAAAGAGTGTTTTCCAAAATTTTCAGTAGACCAAACTTTTCCAAGGATTTTGAGTAGTTGTTGATGCTAGCCTATGTTTGTTCCAGTACCATACAGTGCTGGTACTTCATGTTGTTGAAGAATCAGGCTGACATTCACCTTGGGAGTTTCTAAAGGGTTGCATTCCTGTGGAGGTTACTAAAGCACAAGTGTTTCTGAGGGAATGTCTTTACACAGTGCCCTTTGCTGCTGAAAAATGGAACCCCTCTAGGGTACCTACATAAGCCTTTGCTGATCCACGTGCTCATCTTCTCGGAGAGGTTTGGGAAACCTTTCTTGACCAAGTCTTCAAAGGTAACAGTTGCTAAAGCATTGATGCTGGCTGCTACAGTGCTGTAGAAAGGGAGAAGGATGGTAAGTAAATAGAAAGCAGTGTAATCTGAAATCCAATTGTATATATAAAGAAATGCTTCCTCTTGTTCAGCACTAATGCTCCTCAAGAACTGTATGTTTTGTGGTGTTTTTCATGTGTGCTGCTGTAGCTGGGGAGGTTTCTGTTACCTCTGCAATTGCGGAGGGCTCTGCTTCATGCTGGCATGGAACGAGACAGAAACTCATCCTATTTACAAATCTGTAAAGACCTTCAAAATATAGATGTCCCAGAATTAAAACTTTACTCTCTTATGAACTGAAATGTGTGCAGTTACCACTAGTGCTACCCTGGTCCTTCATGAATGACCTGGCTTTAAGCTAGGGGAATGAACCCATATTTGGTGAATACAGTCACAGATAGACTTGCTGAGAAGATTTATATCCTGACTGTGATATTGTGGCAGTTAGCTTAGGTAAAGACAATTTCGCCATGAGCAGCTCAGTTTTATTTTGTCTGCATTGATAATATTATTCTAAAACCTATTTGGGATATAAAGATACTGGTGAAGTGGAGCTAGACTGTGTCATAAATGTAATCACAGAATCTTTTAGGTTGGAAAAGATCTCTAAAATCATGGAGACCAACCATTAACCCAGCACTGCTGAGTCCACCACAAACCATGTCCCTAGTGTCTATATGTCTTTTAAATCCCCCCCCCCCTTTTCAAATACCCCCAGGGATGTAATGTAATTCAGTAAAGCACTAGTGCTGCTTCCTAGAATGTTCTAAGAAAAACAGCTGGGCTTTTTTTTAGGGTTTCATGTTTTAACCTCATTCTTCTTAGAAATCATCCTACACAGCTAAAATGTCATTTCAAATTCACAGACCTTAGTGTTCCACTGAATGCACAGGCAACAAACAGTCCCGGGACTCCTGGCATCGAAGAAAAAATGTCCATGACAAAGTAGGGCATGAGCTGGGGTAGAAGGAGCACGAGAGCAACACAAGAAATTAATTAAGGTTTTCCTGGGTAATGGAAGAAAAGTAGCTGTTTCTGGGCATGTTGCTAAATTCTGGCATTATCTCAAATAACATGGTGTCAGATTTTGAGCAAAGGGGATGTCTTTTGGTAAAAATGCCCATTTGGATTAGCACTGCAGAAGTGCCAGAATAGGTATTATTGTAGCCCTGATTTGGCAACCAGCCTGAGTGCTGAAAGGACATAAAGCATTACACAAAATTTAAACTGTCCTGATATATGCTATATCTGGGCCCAAAGCAGCTCCTAATTATAGTAATGGACATCTGTACCTGATCAGGAGCTGAAATGAAATCAGCAGTCCAAGGGTCACAACTCTTGTAATGAGAATACATCACCAATCCACAAAATACTGCACACGCTAGGACTGTCCAAAGTCCCAATAAATTCAGGTAGAGTGCCCTAGAGCAAAGGCGAGAAACTGTTTAATGCAAAATAACAAAAAAGCTGTTACAAGTTATTTATTCCAAACCTTTTAGGGAGATGCCTTAATTACAGCCGGTTATCTAATTCAAAGCTGGCTGTATAATTCAAAGCAAGAGTTTAAAAAAACATGGAGAATTACAACATCATTATGCTATAGGGCAAGGATAATGTTTCCAGGTAACTTTGTACAGCTGGAAGAGACCAGTATCCTCTGTGCAGAATGGGCTGCACTGAGCACTGGGTCTTCACTCCTGTCCACTGTAAGAGCAGATTTTTGCCTGTTGGGAGTTGTTGTTGCTGTTCACCCGTTAAGGCACATAGAATACTTTTTTGGATGGATTCTGTCATGTTTCACCATGTGAAGTAACAGTCTCCATTGTTGTTCACCATCCCATGGAAAGGGTGTGGGTGACAGCACCTGCTGGGAAGGTTGTGTGGCTGCTGTTCAGCAGGCCTGCAGGTCCTGAGAGCTGCCAGATTTTACAGAGCCCACACTGTGTTTGAACATCACCTTATGCAAGGTCTCTTGCTAAGGCCGGTTCAGACCTGGGACCCAAAAGTCTTTCCCAACTTCTTACTAGTGATGTTCTCACTGGTGTGACTTATAAATGTTTTTCAGACAATGAATTTTCTGCAGGATAAATTCATATAGACACAGATGACCTCAAGAAAAATTAGCATGTTTGCAGCCAGCAAAAAGGCTAACTGTTTGAAGAAGGAAAAAAGTAAGAACCTTTATGCTTTAGCCATGTGTGCAAGCAATTAGTGCTAGGTGTGTGAAAAAAATCTGGTTGTTTAGTAAAACATGCTACTGCTGAAGTTGATTCTGATTATTTTTATGCCTTAGAATTTTAATAAATTATTGATTTTATTTTATTTAGATAATACCTTGTGCTGTAGCACCCCACAAAATCAATAAGCACTTTTAATACAACTTTAACACAATTGCAATTAGTACACTTTTACAATTAAGCTGTAGATAGCACAATTTCTGTGTGGGCATCTTTGCCATACTCTGCTTCTGGGGATTAATTTGGCTGACCACAAATTGATAAACTGCAACAGATAGATAGCTATCTCTTTTTCTTTCTGCATTTACTTAAGTCAATTAGAGCAAGGGGTAGTAAGACTGTCAGAGCAAAATTAGCTTGCTACCACCTAATGGGATCCCAATTTTTACTTAGCATAGCTGACAAACTTAGTGTAATTCCACATCAGTATGCTTGATGGCAGGAATAGGTTAAGGACAGGCAGCTTACAGTTTAGCGTGCTTTTCCGATTTGCAAGAAATGCATCTCTGTATCGTGGACTGATTGACTCCATAGATCCCTAGCCATGTAAATGTTCCCCCAATAACTATTGTCCAGATGGTATGTCGTCTCAAGGGATCAGCATCGAAGCTAGAAGAAAGAAAGAAGCAATTTAGTTTGCTTATTTAAACATTTATTAGCAAGAGGTAGGTGGTTTTTTTCACATCTGGCATGTCCTGCCATCTGAATCAGAAATCCTGCATTGGCAATGCTGTCCTCCAGCACAGACAACATTTGATGTGTTTAGGTTTGGAAGTTTTGTCACTTTTATATTGGAACACATTTTTTTTCACATCAGGATAAACAAATATTATTCAGATTCAGTCAGAGGACCAATTAATTAAATCAATCACATTTATGAGGCTGCTTATGCCCAAATATCAGGTCTGCATCATATTGAAGCAACAGACCTACAAGCCATCCTGCCTGGAACACTGTCCTCTGCTAGGAACAAGGTCACTTAGCAAACTCTAAAAAAATCCAGCAAACCCTTAATAACACATCATGATGACTTAAATTCCCTTACAGAAATTGCTTCAGCTGCAGTGTTATCTCTTGTACAATGAAATTCCATTACTCAGTAAATCTAACTGGTACAAGCATATCTTTCTGTCTTAAATCTGTCATCTTTGCAGTTCTCCTTATCTTGGTAGGTACAGCAGATAACATTTGACCTTGCTGCTGGATTCTGTCAGTGACTTGCCTTGATTAATGAACTTTTTAGTCAATGCCCCAAACAGCCAAAAGAAGGTCAGATTTCTATGCCAGTGCACCATTGCTAGCTGCTGTGGTGAGTGCATGTAAAACAAAGTGCTAATTTTAAGAAAGAAAATGAAAGATATATACAGTTGGAAGGAATAATTTGGCTTCATTTGTAGCTACACAAAAAAAAAATAAATAAAAAAGGCAGAGTTCCCCTTCAGTTCAGCAGAGCTTTGATTTCTTGAAAGAGTTAAGCTCTCCCGAGGGCCAACTGCATTGCCAGGAGCTGAAGAAATGAGGAATGGATGTCTCTGAATCACCAAGGTTCACAGAATCACAGAATATGCTGAGTTGCAAGGGACCCACAGGGATCATTGAGTCCAACCCTTAGCCCTGCACAGGACCATCCCCAAGAGTTACACTATGTTTTTGGCTTAGTGAGGGTAGGGTTTCTAAACATTAAATATTCAAAAAGGGGAAGTATTGCACCACTTGTTTCTTACTCAAATATGTTTAGTCGTGATCCTTCGTGGGCATCTTCCCAGACTTTGGTTGGTCCACCATTCAGACTAGTTCCTCGAATCAAAACCGTCAGAAAGCCAGCCACCATGACAATCATTTGAAATGCATCTGTCCAGACAACAGCTTTTAATCCTCCCTAAAACGAAGAGAAACTGTATGCCCCCAATCTTCTTTCCTGTTGCTTGAGTACTGCAAAATGTAGAAAGACTCCTTATTTCAACAGCTCACGAGCTGTATGCACAGCACCCAGCAAATCAGGACTCTTTGCGTTCTCCCATGAAGGGTGTATTTTTGCAGGTCAGAAAATTCCACAGCCTAAATAGTTTGTCCACAGGCATGTGAGAAGACCTGACTTACAGTCACATGCTTTTTTTATGCCTTCTTTATATGCATTTGAAGAACGTATCACAGGGCAAAAATGAGGGAGTTCTGGCCTGTTCATACATCCTGTCTCACTCCGTGTGTTCTCAGAGCCCGCTGGTGCACAGTTAGCCTCACACAGGAAAACAGCCCCAGAAAGTTTGCCATTCAGCTTTCTTCCATAGCTACTTTGATATTTGATCAAATATGTACTGTAGCAACATAATAAGTGATTTCAACAAGAGTGGACTGAAATATTGAAAAAATTAATTAGTGGTAACGAGAACAGGAACTAGGTTGTATCCTGAGCCCCAGGACTCTGCTACTTCACTGCCATGTTTATCTATTTTGGAATTTGGAGTCTCATGTTGCTTCCACTCAGAAGCAAAGCTTTCCATGACCTGTTGGTTGTCCTTCCTAGGTTTCATTGCTCTGTTCTTGATCTGGGGTAACACCAGAGGCACATTTTTCGTTACAGAGTTTTTCAGCCTATAACTTGTAAAAGATAAGAATCAAGTCTTATCAAAAGATTTAGTATGACAGGGGAAGGTTATCGCCTCCTTATCTGGACTCTGCCTCAAGCTGTCTTGTTTAAACCTTGCAACATACAGCAGAGGATTAGACAGGATTTTTTTTCTCCAAATAGACTTATTTATACCACATAGTGTAGAAGAAATTTATCTCTGTGTTCTCCAACTTTAAACTTCAGTCAGACTGTATGTGGCAGACACCCTTCTGCCATAGTCTGTCATGTTTAAAGGGTGGTTGAATTAACCATTTGTGTTCCAGCTGTTCAGTAAGGCCTGTTACATACCAGAGTGCAATAGAAAGTGCAGACAATTCCTGTTGCAGCTACAGAGCCCCAGAGATCAAATCCAGTGACTGCAAAACCAAAGAAAACCAAATCATTAGAGAAATCTGAATAGTAACAGTAGAGCTCTAATCCTTTAGCTTTAGAATGATAGGAGTAATTATTAATTTTAATCTTTTGTGTCTACTAGGAGCTTTGCTGGATTGTTCAAGTTTCTTAGAACTTCTGGATATTGTTATGCATTGTTGTCCTCTTTCAAATTGGAATTAACTAACTTTCAAGCAAAAGTAACATGTAAGAAGAATACTTGCATAAAGAAAAAGTGTCATTCTGATGGGACACAGCATTATAAGCAATGCTTCCCTTCTGTTCCCTAGACCGGAACTTTTTCTGAGAAACCAAGTTGTTCAGAGAATCCCAAAGAATCCTAAGACAAAAACACCCAAGCCCTAAGTAAATTCCATTTCCTGCAACTAGGAACAGTTTGATGCTAAAATGTGCTTCAGTAAAACGATTTTTTTTGTTCCTTTTGCCTCATAAAGTTCCTTTACACAAGACACACAAATTTTGGGTTGGCTGATCTTGAAATCTCTCCCACAAGGCACAGCTGATGAGAGCAAATATATTTTTAAAGGTTCTCTTATTAGCAAAGTTAGTATGGCATAATAATGAATTTAAACTCTCACATGGAATTCCTTTGCACACCAGAGGAAGGAAGTTTGGTGCTGTGTGAGAGGAGGGATTGGACAAACCGGCTGCAACTCAGATGATGAACAATGAAAGCAGCCTCACAATCTCTTCTCAGTCAGTTTGGGTGAAATCAGGATTTGGGTCATGATGATTCCTTGTGCCCTATGGCAGTAAAATCACTGATCCCACCTGTGGTGATGGGTGCTGTATGCCTAGCTTGCAAACATTATTTGAATAAGTCTGTAGACAGAAAGCAGCACAGCACTGAGCTCCGGCTACATGGAAAGGAGTTACTCCCACGGAAATCGGAACACAGGAGACAGCGAAGGGGGGAGTCAAAGTACAGAATATGGTCTTGGATCATCAGCTTGTACTGTGAACTTTGTCAGGATGTTGGGAAACTGTTTGCTGCGAACCTCTTCAGGTGGTTACTGAGTGGAAAGGACAGCAGAGCAGCATCAGTGAGGCTCCTACTAATGTACGGGTGTGAGAGGGGTCTGGGGGGTCAGAAAGGCAGAGATGTGAGGTGGAGGCAAAACCTGCTTACAGAACTTTTGAGGAGAGTTGGGTTTTTGTGTTATTTATCAATTTTCCTCACTTCATTTACTCTGATTGCCTTGTGGTGTGGTTATTTGGGGTGGCAGTGTAGTGCAGCATGGGAACTCACCTTGGTTGAGTGCCAGTGATGGAGCATAGACCACTATTCCTGTGTAGAGGATCTGAAGGAGAAAAAGTCCATTAAAAAGTCATGTATTTGAATGCTCAGTGATAAGGCTTCTATTTAGAGTGGGGCTCTGAGCAAAACACTGGATCTAGGATGTTCTTTAGGTCTGCCTGTGTTGTATATGTCTTTCTGTTTCAGCCCTTACAAAATAAAAATCTTTGGTTTAATTCCTTTCTGAGGGAAGGGCAATTACCTGTCTTGGTATTACTTATTTCACCTATTACTAAGATGACTAGATGACAAAATATTATCACCAAATAGAAAGAGAGTATCTGCAGAAAACATGAAGAGTGATACAGAAATAAGTTGCGTGGATCTCAGAAATTAAATTTTAATTTTTCCCTTCAATCCTTTCAAGTAACTGACTTAACGCCCTTCACATGTAAGTTCTATCAGAACTCATGGAGAAACAAAACATAAGTAGCATTCAAATCTATTGCTGAAGGTTTGGAAATTAATAAAATGGAAATCATGCAAAAAGAAATGTCTCCCAATATCCCACAACACAACCATTCTTTCATTTTAGCATTCATAGTCCAAGTGAAAAAAACTAAGAAAAAAAGAGTAATGTCATTAAAACATCTCATTCTAAAAAATGTGCCCTCTGAGACTACTCTGTGAAAATCAATGTTGAGTGAAACTAGCATTAAAATGAGTCAATGTTTTCTTACCGTCTGCAGGATGTAGATCAACGTTGCAGCAAGGCGGACAATCTTGTTAAATCTTAACTCCAAATACTAAGAAAAAGAGTAATTTCAGTAAATTGCACATGTAGCATCTGTGACACAGACGCTGTTTGCCCCAAGTTAACACCTTGCCATGCAAGTAAAATCACTGGCAGCTGGCACTGCTGTTACGAGTGATAAGGAGAGCAGGACTGTCCTTACACATAGGGATAATTGCATTTAAGAAGTCTTCTCATCTGTACCACGTACTTGAAGTTCTAGTTGGGTTGCAGTAATAGGTACCTTCTCTGTATCAGGAATAACTGGAAGAGCCCAAGGGCTACAAAGGAGGGAAATTTAAACTTCAAATGAAAGTGTGTTCCAGCTATACAGTGAGGAAACTTAAGCTCATCTCTAGCAGAAACAGCATTGTTTGACTCCAGTACTGGCAAAAGTGGAGGTGGAGCAGATGGTGAAGCAGCAACGTGGAGTTTCCTAGTGCATGAGCTAAGCTGGCTTTCTCACTTGCTCTGCCTCAGCCTAAAGCCAAATCTGCACATCACCAATGTGAAAAGACAAGGGAGGGGATCTTATGGACTTCCAGGTGGATGTAGAGAGGTGTTCCCAATTACCACACAGCTGCAGAGGTGAGCAGATGTCTAGACCCAAAAGCCCAGATTTTAAGCCTGAATCACCACCTGGAATCTCTCTGTGGAGTCTCTGTAAAATCTCTCTGCCCCTGTGACAGCCTCCATGCAGCCTGCCCTGGGCTGGGTTTCTCCTTGGGCCATAGTCCCATATCCCCAGCAGATACCTGGCATGGACTGTACAAGTCTTCTCTCTTTTACAAGTCTCCAGGCTATGCACTATGTATTATTGCCAAAGCATCTTCTTTCTTACTAATTTTGTTTGTGCTTGTCTTGTGTTTCTTGCATAATAAACCCCATGGTCTCCCATACAAATACATAGCTAGTTTATGTAACTTGACCTGTTTCTAAAAATAATTCATCTTTCCAGCATATTTGAAGGGTCTCTCTTACTACAACGACACCTTTGGTGTTTCAGATGACAAAAGTAATTAATTCTCTGATCTTGGATGAAAATCACCCAGAAAATGCAACCACTTGCAGCAATGGTCAATTTTACTCTTTTCCAACCTAAAAATATTTCCAAATACCCAGGCAGATCTGCTTGACCAAAGCCCTTCCTTGGGCTCGGGCTCAGAGAACATGAGCAGCCTTTCTGTTTTCAGGAAGCTCCTTGTGAACTAACCCAACTTTCTTCATCCAATTCTTGCTCAGTTCAAACTGCCCACAAACAAGAGCAACTAAATTTGCAGCAGTTGATTAAAGTAAGTAAGAGGCTATCCCAAATGGTCAGTGGTTGCCCTGTAGGTGTGCAGGTGATAAGGGCTGCTGCTGAACTGCATTATGAAGAAAATAATGTCTTCCAGAAAGAATGCCAGGCAAAAACTTTACAAAATTCATAAGTCATTAATTTAGTTTCCTAGAGAATTTGTTTTCCAACCCTGTCTTTTTTTCTTCTTTCTTTTTTTATTTCTGGAACAG